CGCCACAACCCGTCCATCTCACTTCCGATCGATTTCTTGGTTTCCCACCTCCCTCAATCTATTTTTCCGGTATCCCATCTCAGTTAATCGATCCCCTCTCCAGCACAAAACACCAACTTCACTGTATGTCCAGATTCGTTCACTCAATTGATCATGCCAGGATACGGCAAGAATTCGGGACGGGAGAGAGGATACAGGTGGGAGAGGAAGAGGGGTTGGTGAGATTCAGAGAAAGGAGATGAAAAGTTCAGATACAACTCATTTCACACCCCACACGCTAAGCCAACGGTCTCTACTTATCCTACATGCGCACACACACTTACAGGTGGCCCCATGGTTCACCGTGTTCGGCTCACAAAGCCTTCTTCCTCGTATTGTGACATCAGATATGCTGGTATTGTCATGCCAGTCGATTTGCTACTGTTCTGGTTAGATTGTATACCTGCAGTAGCATATCTGTGGAAATGATCCATGCTACATTTTGTTAAATATGGGAGCACACCAGCATGCATCACCATGCAACTGTGCAACACGAGGAGCACCGTACGTAAGTAGGTGCGTACGTGCAAGGTCACGTAAACATTTGACCTCAAGAAAGCATGTGGTTTGGTTTGACCCCCCGCACTTTCGAAGAGTCTGTTGAATTAGGCCGGCCGGTAAAAAATCAGGTCAAGTCTACTACGTTTAGGAATTTTCCCCTGGATGAGCGGCGGGGTGGGCGGACAGAGTCAGCCGGCCGGATAGCAACCGCAACACGGCCGGAGCCCGGAGTGGCCACCTCGCCCACACACACCTACTCGTGGACTTGGTCCCCGCCTTGGTTTCTTCCTCTTTTCTCCAATGCTAAGAGCGTCAATGATCAATGTCGATCGACGTCGCACTCACAAACCATACTGCATGAAACTAGACCCACAGCTGAATACGTTCTAAATACATTGGATGCATGCGCTCAGGCTCAGGAATACAGAATACACACGCATCCCGAAAAAGACCAACGGAGGAGATAACATGTTCAGCTGTGCTCACTCTCAGAAACGAATTTTTCATAATTAGGCTCAATGCTGCATATTTCTGGTCACATTATGTACAGGAGTAAAAAGGTCTTTTCATGTGTACAAAATGAACTAGAGTGTCATATAGGGAAAGAAATTAAGACTATAGGTCATATAGGGAAGAAATTTTTTCCAGTGTCAAATAAGGAACATGATTTTAAGGGAGTGTCAAATAAGGAATTCTCTCAAGGTGATACCCTGGGAAGTGTGTGCAGGCATAGCATAAGCTTGCGGTGGCTAATTTCTACTTCGCACTTGTGTTATGCGGGACAAAGGTGCCAAAATCACAAGAACAAAATGGTGGAAGCTCAAAGGGGAAGTGCAGTGGTCCTTCTAAGGAAAGAGCGGGAAAACCTTGCTTAACAGATGTTAGCCACAGGATCAAAGCAAAAGGTGGATGAAGTGGTGGCAAGCATCTGCCATTTCTGTGACAAGAAGGTCCCATAAAAGCTGAAAGGTAAGTTCTCTAGGACGACAATCAAAATTGTGATGCTATATGGAGCAGAACGTTGGCACACTAAAAGACAACACACCTGACAAATGAGCATTACAGATTGTGCATGCTATGGTGTGTGTGGCCATACAAGGACAAAAAATAGGAATGAGGTAATACATGATAGGGTAGGGTGGCACCAAATTAAGAGAAGTGTGTCCAACAGCGAGTAAGGTGGTTTGGACATATCCTACAAGGGCCTCCAGAAGCACCAGTTAATAGTGGGATTCTAAAGGGTAGCAAAAATACTAAGAGGGACAGGGGCAACCAAAGTTGACATGGTGGGAGGCGGTAAAGAGGTATTTGAAGGATTGGAATGTACCTGGAAATTTGGCTCATGATAGGACTGCATGGAGATCAGCAATCCATGTGCCGGAACCTTAATTTACTCTTTTATTCTTAGTTTACTTTTTTCTATATTTCACTTTTTTGGTTTCCATATGTTTCTGTTGGGTTCCATATCTAGCATACCCCAACTTGCCTGGGACAAAAGGCTGCTGTTGTTTTTGTTGTTGTTCTTGTTGTATTTTACATTGTTCAGTTAAAATGATCTGTTGGCTGTTGCATGATCTATCTAGAACAGAACATTCATTCTGAGATTCTACAGGGATAAGAAATATGCAGTAACAAAAGAGTAAGAATTGATTGTGCTCACAGTATAATGAATATCTTGTTCAAAAGCTTCAGCTATTTTTGCTGCTTTGTAATACCGGTCACTTGGCTTTTCAGCCAGGCCTGATATTATAAGAGGTGTCCGTGCTTCATCAACAAGGATTGAATCAACTTCATCTATCACACAGTAATTAAAGTTCCTCAAGACAAGCTCATCTACAGTCTGCAAATAAAGATTCGGTTAAGTGCAGAAGCTGTGAACCTGAGAGAACAGGAAGAAATGAAATAGTGGTCCTTAAAACTTGAGAGTAAAATGCACCCAAGGTCCTAAAAGTATTCCGGGGGTGTCAGCTCAGTCCTATAAGTATGAAAATGCACATTTAAGTCCCCAAAAGGATAGGTGATTCATCGCAGGTCCTACTCAGGTCTGACCTGCCCGCGTGGAGCATTGAAATGCAATGTAGGTAATATTTTGCACAATCACACAATAGTCTATTGTAATTCCGTGGTCCCGTGCTAATGTTGTGCGCTATGTCACAGTCACCTACTTCTTGTGGATGGTGCACATGCTCGCGTGGACGTTGAGATAGGAGAACTTGTTATGGATGTGACCTTTTTTCATGTTCTTTATCCCCCGTTTCAGGTGATTGGCAGGCTCTGATGGGCGGTGATGCTGCGCAGGATAGTACTTGACCATGGCCCGGGCTTCACATGCGGTGGAGAGGTCAGGCCCTGCAGCGGTGGCATGATGTCCGGTGTGCAGCGGCTGTTCATCGGGCTCACAACTGGTACGCACGCTCGCTGGACGAGAGTCAGAGCAGAGCCCAATGTCGCTGCTCGATCCCAAGGCGCTCATGCTCAGTCGCCACGCTTGCCGAGGACCTACGAAGCAGGACCAGGCCGGGGATCGGCCTTGTGGTGGACGTCGCCCTGGCTGCCGACAACGACGACGGCAAGAGCTGTCGTCCCTGGCTGTCCAACTCACCACCTTCGGATCTATTCGCAAGTTGGCATGTGAATAGACTCAGAGGTATGGCTCAAGAGGCCTATACCTGGACACAGAGGGGGCAACAACAATTTTCAGATAAATCGCAAAAGCCAGGACTTGAACTCGAGACCTTAGGCTCCGATACCATGTTAAGCTTCATGCACTAGCCAACGCAACCAAAAATCCGAACCGAGGGAAAGGACTAGGCAATCCACATATACACTAGCATGTTAAGCTTCATGCACTAGCCAAGGCAACCAAAAGTTCAAACTAATGGAAAGGGCCACATATACATTTCATCACCCTTCTCACGTATGATGCGGGAAGTAACACATAAATAGTCTCGGAGTATGCTCAAGGGACCTATACGTGGACACAAAAGGCGTTACAACAATTTTTGGATAAATTGTGGGAGTCGGGACTTGAACCCAAGTCCTTAGGCCCTGATACCATGTTAAGCTTCATGCACTAGCCGACGCAACCAAAAGTCCGAGAACTGATGGAAAGGGCTACGCAATCCACATATACACTTCAACACCCCCTCAAATGTGACGCGGGAAGTCAACATGTGATATGGCTCAAGAGGCCCATACGTGGACACGGAGGGGGAACAACATTTTTTGGATAAATTGCGAAAGTCAAGACTTGAACTCAAGACCTTAGGCTCTGATACCATGTTAAGCTTCATGCACTAGACAACGCAACCAAAAGTTCGAACTGATGAAAAGGGCCAGGCAATCCACATATACATTTCAACAACATATTTGACAACGGGCCATGAGGTTAGACTTGGGTAGGACCAATGGTGAACCATTTATCCACTTTTAGTGCTCAAATGTGCATTTTCGTAGTTATACGGCCTAGTTGACGCAGGAAATACTGTAAGGACCTCTGGTGCATTTTACCCAAACTTAAAAGGCAAGCATGCGATCAAACATTGATAAACATTGTCCACAAAGGAAGAGGCCTACCATCGCAAGGTTATCTCTTAGATAATCAAATCCAAGCTCACTATTTGTGACATAAGTAATATCGCACAAGTAATTTTCCCTCCTTTGCTCCGGTGTCATGTTCTCTGCCAAAACAAAGACCAACTGTTCAACAAACATCAATAACAAATAAAGGAAATCAATAAATGATGCCAGAAAAAGAGAGAACTCAAAAATAAGTGCTTGATGGGCACATGAAGTTGTTGCGTAGCAGCAGTGACAGGCTAACGGACTCAGAATAATACTACAATCAGCTAAACATCCATCTTGTTTGGCATGCGTTTTCTGGAACAGACAAGTAAAAATCTATCTCAATTGTCATGTGTTTTCTGACCAGACATGTACAATTATTGGGTATTTTTGTTCTTTTATCACGCATATCAGTACTTCCACGAGCAACTCATTTCATTCACAAGAGTTCAGTTGGTACGTTAGTACCTTAATTATGTTTGGCGTATTAAGGTGGATACTGAACAAAGTGTGCAATTTGGAGATGGCACAAACAACAATAATGAACAACGTGGAGTGATCACATACGTTGAATTAGTCCAACTTGCAGTCCTAGAAAGCGGGGAACTTGACCAACCCACTCACAGTCACGTCTGGCAAGATAATCATTTACTGTGACAACATGGACTCCTTTACCACTTAATGCATTTAAGTACGCTGTGGCAGGATAGCCACGAGTGTCTTCCCCTCTCCAGTCTTCATTTCTGCAATCTCCCCCTTATGCAGAACCATCCCACCAATCAACTGTACATCAAAGGGGCGAAGACCAAGAACTCTATTGGAAGCCTCCCTCACAACAGCAAATGCTTCCTGCAATAGCCGAGAAACCATCAAAATATTTCCACCTTGAAATATCTTTTTTCAGCAGTTGACATGTTGGCATGTTGAATATATCATAGAACAAAGTACTTTTGCAGTTTTCAGACAAACACTGTAGTAGGCTAGTAGCTACTGAGGAAAATAGTTGGGAGAAGCTCACATTTAGTTATCCTGTTGCGCTTCAAAACCATCAAAATATTTCTACTGAGGAATATAGATGTGGGAGAAGCTCACATTTGGAGATGTTTTTGAGTTATCACATTTTTCAATAATGAAGTGGCAAAGTAGTCATATAGTTCCCGAGTTCTTCAATTTTTAAAATGAGGTTCTACTATTTGTATGTTATGAAATCAAATAACATCTATCCTTGTTACATGTTATTCCCTAAAAAGCACATATACGGCAGACTCTGTCGTATCAGTGTATAGAACACTAGAGATACGGGGATCCCTGGATATGCGGCAATATGTGTATCCCCGAGTATCAGTGCAGCCTAGTAAAGCCCAACCCTCTCGGGTTGGGTCGGCAATCTTGGTACTGTGTAGGGCATTTGTGAGGGCCGAGCAAAAGCTCTGCGCGTCAGTGCCGGCGACGATGACGGCTACGGGCATCACTTCCCTCCAGGGGGCGTTGTTGTGGGTCTCCTCGTGTTGCCTGGGCTCCGGGGTGAAAACCCTTGTCCGTCCTTCGGACTCGACGACGGTGGCGCGTGGTGTCATCACCCTCTTAGGGGTGTCGTTGCGGAACCCCGGCTCATTTCGGTTGCAGCTTGCCAGCGGCTTCGGGCTTGCCTTTTTCCTGACATGTGGCACCCAATATATGGCGTGGGGTGGTCCCGATGGTCTCCTATCTGTTAGACGTATCCCTATGATTATCGTTCTCGGTCCTTGCGATCTCCTGGCAGGAGCGGCGCTCCTCGGCCCGGAGCGAGGGGGGAGGACTCTACGGTGAGTCGGCCCCTTCCGGAGATGCTCGGTGTGTTCCGTGCTACAGGGTCCGATGGTTTTCTCAGTGGCGACGCGGTTTCACTCTTGTTCAATAGTTTTGGGCGTCTTGTTAGGTGTGGCGTCTCCTGTTTTCTTGTGCGGCTTCGGGTTAAGGGCACTTGTGCCACTCGCTCGGATGTTGTTGTATTTTTCTTTTGGCCTGCTTTGTTGAGGGTTTCCTCCACTTTGTATCAGTTCGGCCGTTTGTGCCTTTATTTATAAAGGGGGGCGAAAGCCTATTTCGAGGAAAGCCCAACCCTAGATAGGTCCCAGTCCTCAATCGACCAGGGCAGCTCGATCCAGTCCCGACTCCCGCGATCCCATGCACGAGTGCGCCACCACTGCCCGTCGCTGAATCTCCCGGCGGCAAGCAAGGTAATTTTCCCGACAGTTCTCCTCAATGTTCAAGTGCTTGCTGTCTGCTGACTTGCTGCCACCTGCCACTGCCGTTACTGGCTTGATGCTACCTCACATGCTGTTGTTGTATACCTGCTGCTGTTGAGTTGCTTGCTGCTGTTGTTGGCTTGTTGCATATGCTAGATGTTTCTGTCGAGTAATTGAGTTGCTGCTGAACTGCTATTGTTGCTTCCTTGCTTGCTACCTTACTAGCTAGGGAATGGCATCTGCAAGCAGTGGCATGGGGCAGGCAGCCACTCTTCTTTTGGTGGAGCTGCAAACAACGTCAGTGCTGACAGTGAAGAGGTTGAGGCTAGGGCTGGTTGCTCACAATCCTAAATATCCTCTGTGGGCTCGTGCGACAAGAATATTACCAGTTGCAGACTCTACTTTCTAGGTTATTTCTATGTTCATTTGTTGCTAAGTTATTTCTATGTTCTTGTTGCTGTTTAGGTTATTTCTATGTCCGTTTGTTGCACGTTACGTTCAACTTCCTTGACCTTGTCATGGCATATCAAATTATGGCATAATCTGATATTTACAAAATCACTCTAGGATGCTGTCCCCACTTATCAACACCAGAAGCTTCCATCCATCTATACATATAAACATACGTTTACCAGCTTCTAAACTACTCCGTCTGTCTCATCCGTTCGAGCGACAATTAATATGGGACAAAGTACTATGCAGCCATGATATTTGTGTTCATATTTAGAAATGTTATTTATTCTATACTGCCTTGCAAGCTGATTTGACAAAGAAAAATACTGTATGGAACTTCATGATCAAAGTCTTGAGTTGCAGAAAATACTAAAATAACCAATGATGTCAGAACAAATGAATAATTAAATATGCAACTTAACATTGGATTCTAACTTTTACCTGTATTACATATATGTTGAATAATCATTTTACAACTATTGAGAAACATTTGTAAATATGCCTACAGGATATTTTACTAATGTTTTTCTGTGTAGCACATCACATAACTTCAGATTGTACTTCACACAATTTTTCACTATTATTGGCTAGTTGTATTTAAACACATCATTTGTTGTGCCTGTACATTGCATTCCATATTATATTTTAGAGATATGTACCATCAACATTTATACCAAACTAACTCACGACAATGTACAGGAATGACACTGGTAATATTATATTGTAGTTACTTCCAAGCTAAGCAATGTCTAATGGTAAGCCTTTCAAGCTAAGCAATGTCTTCTTGTTTTTTGGGTGACACGGCCTTCAGTAAGGAATTATTGTACAACGTTCCTGAACTACCTTCGCAGCTTGATATGTTTAGATGTTGAACCTAACCTAGTTCTTGGCGCCCACATAAGTGGACTGAAAAAGCAATCACCAAAGTCACAATTTATAACTATAGTTTTTTAAATTTTTTGCAGGGAATTTACAACTAGAGTTGTGGTGACCATAAGTTGACAGTGTAAACTAACTAATACTGCCTCTATCTTGATATAAGACGTTTTTGCAGTTCAAATGTTAAGGTACAGAGGTAGTAGTTGCTTTATTTGATTAACCATTGTCAGGGCGAAATTTAATTACAAACTCCGTATCCATTCCCTCTGCCTCGAATCGGAACTGAACAGAAATCTGGAGTATTTAAGAGATTGTAAGTGATTCTGGATGTTGTCCAATACGTACGGGGAGGAGGGAGCCGAGGGATTCCCCGGCGCGCGCGCGCTCTTGCAGCGCGGAGGTGCGGGCGCGGAGGTCAGCGTCCGAGAGCGCGGAGACCTCGGGCTCCAGCCTGTTGACGAGCGCGACAGTGTCGTTGTACCTCCTCTTCGCTGCCTCACCGTCGTCGCCGCCGCCTCCGCCGAACATGCCGCCCAGCAATCCCCCCAGCCCCGCGCGCGCTGCCTCGCCGCCTCCCCGCCTCTGCAGCCCGCGACAGCGCCGGCGGAAAAACTGGACGTGGCCGACGCCACTGCTGATACTACAGGGAGGAGACGGGTGTGGAAAGTGGAGGGATGTGGCGCAGGTGGCGGTGGACGAAAGTGCCGTCACCATCGCGCCGCGAGCTCGCTGCTGGCTTCAGCTCCTCCGCTTCACTTGTGTTCTAGTGCAGTATGGCATGCACGGCGCCGCGTGCTCTCGGCGATAGGCAGTTGTGGCCGTGGATGATGGAACGAGGTCGGTGAAAGAACGAGGATAAGGAGTCGGACAAAGCCCATCTCTTCTTTTTTTTTTTTTGATTTGATATTGAAAAGCACGTCTCTAGCCGACCATGTACGGGGAGATTTGTAAAACTTGTCACTTAGGTTAGACCGTGAGATCAACCCAAAAAATCATATTTAGACATTTTTTTAAAATCTGAAATTATTTGACAACATTCATATGAGGTATGTCTACAACCCTAAAAAATCAGCTCAAAACTCGATGTATATTGAGAGATTAAAAGACAAATTCGAATGTGAATATTGACATCTTTGGGGAATAAAACTTTGATATTATTCACATTCATTGTCTTTTCTGTTTCTATTAATGTAAGTCAAACTAGAAGTTGAAATTTTTTGAGTTTGTACATCAAACATTGAGGTGTGTCTACAAAAATTTGAGAATGTTTGAACATGTTTTTTTTTTCAAAAAACTCGAACTCATTGATCTCATTTAATGTGAAATCGCACACAAGTCTCCCACATGGAAACATTTGGGCTATGAGTTAGCCAGTGGGCTTAAGAGCAATCACTAGTAAGCCAAAAGGAGAGAAAAAGGATTGGCTAGATGTAAGTCGCGTGAAAACCAAATTTGGTTCAATTGATTCCTATGAGCCGCCGGATGCAAGATGGATGACCAGATCAGCTTCTTCAACCTTTCGAAAACGGTTATTGTCCAACGTCTTCACCTCGAACCGCCCGATCTACCATCGGCCTAACCATCTCATGCCACCGTCCGCGGCCGGCGATGCTACCGCGCCAGCCTCTCCACCCTCCCCGCAACCACCCCCACC